ATTAAAAATATAGACGAATAAAAAGTTTATTGTTATAATTGTTGTGGATTTTATTTGGCAATGAAAACATTAAATGATTTTTGTACAGTACACACGTACACACGTACGCACACACACACACGTACGCACACACGTACGCACACACAAAATTTTCATCCAACTCAAATGCAAAAAATGAAATTAACAATTGATTTTCAATGTTTAATATCATAACAATAAGTAACCAACCTAGAGGGCGAGTTTCCTTCAGTTTGTCTGAGTGCGTTTGTGTGTATGTGTGTGTGCGTGTGTGTGTTTGTGCGTGAGTGAATGTGATTATGATGATTAATCTTATTATGTGAAAAATGATAATTTGCTATAGTACTATAACTCTCTTTAATTTTTAACTCTCTTTAATAATTATTTTTTCTAAATTAAATTATTTTTTCATTTTCAATGTTTTTTTTTATGCTCTGAAATTTTATTTAGCTATCAATCCATAACATGAAATGACATTTGCAACATTAAACAAAATTAAATGACATTAATATCAGACAAAACACCAATTAAATTAAATTTAATAATAATTTAATTAATAAATAAATAATAATAATAATAAATTAAATACCAGACCAAATAGAGCAGACCAGCAATTTTTTTGAGAACAAATTTAACCGGGATAGCACAGAAACAAGCCAGTTAAACAGCTAAACTGAGAAAAGCATTGTCGAATGTATCGTACGATATGGCTACAGTATATATACTATATCCCATACGTACATACATACATATATACATACAAACATACATACATACATACATACATACATACATACATACATACATACATACATACATACATACATACATACATACATACATACATACATACATACATACATACATACATACATACATACATACATACATACATACATACATACATACATACATACATACATACATACATACATACATACATACATACATACATAAATACATACATATAAACAGACATACACACGCACACACACACATACATACACACATACATTCGATTGTACTTATATATACAGTACCCACATGTTTGTACATTTCATTTCGGTACAAAAAATTTTATGGTATCAATCTAGATGGAAGAATATTTATATAGAGCTACAGAGTGCTCTGTGCGTATAAATTCGCACACGAAAATAACAATAATAACAAATAATAACAACAAATAATTGAAAATAATAAGAAAAATAACAATAATACGAGTAGAAGTAATTGTAGTACTTGCAGCAATAGAAGTTGTAGTAGTTGTAGCAACGGTAGTAGTAGTTGTTGTTGCAAAATTAGTAGTATTAGTAATAGTAATAATAATAGTAGTAGTAGTAGTAGGTAGTAGTAGTAGTAGTAGTGGTAGTAGCAGTGGTAGCAGTATTATTTTTTTCATAATATTATAAAATTTTGTCACGGGATATTTAGCCAGTTGAAGAATTTTCTCAGCATTAAAAGCTTCTTGGTTATCTGATCTACAGTAATTCTTTATTTACACATTTTTATAAAATACTATCAGAGTTAAAGTAGTATGACTAGTTATAAGTAGTAATAGTAGTATCAGTAGTAGTTGTTGTTGTTGTAGCAGTAGTAGTAGTAGTAGTTGTTGTTGTTGTAGCAGTAGTAGTAGTAGTAGTAGTAGTTGTTGTTGTTGTTGTAGCAGTAGTAGTAGTAGTTGTTGTTGTTGTAGCAATAGTAGTAGTAGTAGTTGTTGTTGTTGTAGCAGTAGTAGTAGTAGTTGTTGTTGTTGTTGTAGCAGTAGTAATAGTAGTAGTAGTTGTTGTTGTTGTTGTAGCAGAAGTACTTGTAGTAGTAGTAGTAGAGAGGGAAATTAGTAGTAGTAGTAGCAAAAGTAGTAGGTGTAGTAGTAGTAGCAGTAGTAGTAAAAGTAATAGTAGTGGTAGTAGCCGCAGTATCAGCTGTGGTAGTTGTGGTAGAGTCGTATGCTTTTATAACGTCGGGTATCTTATCGTCCCATCTCACATAGACGCACCTGCTTAGTTCAATCCTTCAGTCAAGATGTCCAATTCATTATTTTTTATTTCTGTTGTTTTTGCTGTTGTAATTATTATTATTATTATTATTATTATTATTATTGTTATTATTATTGTTATTATTATTGTTGTTGTTTCCATAATCCCTCTGCTTTATTTTAAACAATTCAATTTAAATATTTTTTTCATTTTTGGAATAAATTGGCGTGGGTGGAATGAATGAGTGAATGAATGAAAGAAAGAATGAATGAATGATTGATTGATTGAATAAATGGATGAATATATAGATGGATGGATAGATGCGAATTTTTTATCTTTAAGCCAAATCAAGATTGGAACGTTTGAGTCGAGCGACTTAGATAACACACATTGATAATTTATTTATTATACTTATAAAAGATTATAGTTATAATAATAATAATAATCTGATGATGATACAAAAAATGGAGATGATGATGATGATGATGTATAAGATAGAGATGATGATGGGTTGATGATGATATATAAGGTGATTAAAACAAATTGAAATTCAGATTGAAGAGCTTACTGGGACAGTGAAATTTTTAATCGCTGGTGTTATCATCATCATCATCGTCGTCGTCATCACCACTATCATCATCACCATCACCATTTTCCTCATCATCGTCGTTGTCATCATCATCATAATTTTTCTCAATATTTTCATTGTCATTATTCTCTGATCCGATCTTTCATCAGTTCATCGATCTGTCTATTCATCCATATACCCATCTATCCATCCATCCGTTCGTTCGTTCGTTCGTTCGTTTGTTCGTTAGTTCGTTCGTTCGTTCATTCTATCATTCATTCATTCATTCATTCATTCATTCATTCATTTATTCATTCATTCATTCATTCATTCATTCATTCATTCATTCATTCATCCAACTATCCGTCCGTCTAGACTTTTCCATTGTTGATTGCTGGTCGTTAATTTAAATCCACATTTAATCAATCCTCGCCTCACGTGTTTGTCATCAGATGAAGGTTATTAAGTTATTTTTTCAATTATTCACCATTCTTAGCATTATTATCATAAAATTTATTATTATTATTTTCATTATTTTTTTTTCTCTCTCTTTCTCTCCTCTCTCTCTCTTTCTCTCTCTCTCTCTTTCTCTCTCTTAGTATCTTTTCTACGATGATACTATTATCGACAAACTCACACTGCATGTAGTAAAAATCAGCATGTGATGACTGGCGGCTGCAGGGAACCTCCCTGCATTCGAACCCAGTCACTGCAGCACCAGTGCCGGCCACCTTAACCATTACACCACTCCGTCACAAGAAAAATAAGGATTATTTCAAAATTTCAATATTTTATTTATTCATCAATTCAAATCAAGCAATTGTAAGAATTGAAAATAATACGGAGATCAAAAAAGAAAAGATCTTTAGACCACCGTTAAACAGAAAAATTACATTTAAAATAAAGAAATAGGCATTAATACGAACAAAAATTTAAAATTAAACTTGCGTGCAGGCTACAAAAAATATTGACAATATGATGGATTGAAACAGCATAAAAACATTGACACGCAGTTCAGCAAATAGACCAATAAAAATTAGTTATTGACAAAGTAAAAAAGAATACAATTCAATGATATTATGATCATCGTATCCACATACAGACACGAGCTTATACATGTTTACATTATAACTGCGTATATATGAAAAAAAGAGCCTGTATGAGAAAGAACACAAGCAACAAAAACATGATGAAAGTTATGTAGGGGAATTAAGTAACCGGTGGCCATTTATGAAAATAAAATAACTAAATAAAACAATTAAATTATCATGAGAATGGTGAGTACAAAGTATCGATAATATTACGCAATGTTAGGCCAGCAGAGGAAATTGTTACAGTAGTAAGTGTAACTAAGTGAAGAGCCAATAAAAAATAAATAGCATAAATAAGAAAAAATAAGAAGAAAATTGAAAACCGTACCGGCCCTGAGTAACAATAAAGAAGTAACAATGGTAAGAACCGGAAGCTGAGTAACAGAAGCGATTGTAGTAGCGTTTCTAGCCACCAATCGACAGTGCTCGTGATTCAATTTCAGGAAGCAACCGGGCATATGGCAAGCGTAAAATCACATTGATATGGTTCAATGCATATTTATAATAGTGGGGCTTGTGCTGGTGATGATGATGATGACAGTGATGATGATGATGACGATGATGAAGAGGAGGACGGGGATGGTGATGATGATGAGGATGATGGTGACGATGATGAGGATGATAGAAATTACGATTAAAACGGGTTTCAGCAGCTAGTAGTGAAACTAATAATGAATATTTATAGCCTGAACTTGCAATGACGCATAAGGTGACATCATAGGTTAGTTATTTGGAAAAATAAAACCTTCTCTAATCGTTTTCTTAATTTTTGATGTTGTAGAAAGGTCAAGACAGGAAAAGGGCCAGAAAATGTATATTTTATTTGAAATTTTGGTTAAAAATCTTGTTGTTTCACCAAAAAATTTCACATTTTATTTGACAGAAGAATGAACTGTTATCATAGAGAGATTTTTTAACAAACAAGTCAACAAACAAGCCAACAAACACACAAACAAATAAACATGCAAGCAAACAAACAAAACGACATAGTTAAACGTATAAACAAACAATGAACAACATGAACAAACAAACAAACCAAACGAATAAACACGAAAACGAACAAACGAATAAACAAACAATGAACAACATAAACATGAAAACAAACAAACGAACGAACGAACAAACCAACAAACAATCAAGCAAACACGAGAACGAACAAATGACTAAAAAGGACGGTGAACGATTAAAAAGCTTTTCCGCATGGGTGCATGAGCAGACTGCCAACGTTCAAAACAATTGGACGATCAAACAAAACGAAAAAAAAACCAAAAAAAGAACACAAATCTAAATAGCTAACAAGATGGCTTACAAACGGAAGGAAACAGAAAAATCAGCCAACCAACCAATCACGTATTACAATAAAACACACTACCTCCTCCTATGTTCTGACGGAAAACGCCTATTTCGAAGTCCGTTTATTTCGAAGTTCGTTTACATCAATGTATAATTATATCGATTTATGGATGCGTGGCATATCATGCGTAGTGATTTCATTTTTATTTTTTTTTTAGGTTTCTAGATTTTACGAAATATTTTTTTTTGGGCCACACCCTTTCTCGATTTTGGGGGCTGACAAACTGGCCCGTTTTAGCTATTCAACCATTGAATTTTACACTGATTCACCGTGTAAGGTAGAGAAGAAAACAAGAAAGGAAAAAAAAGAAAAATAGAGAGAAAAAAAGAGTGAAGGAGAGAAAAATGAGAAAGAGAGTCAAAGAGTGAGAAAGCCAAAAGTTTCATGATTAATATAAAGTTATATGACTCCGTATGATACAAATTAATTCGTCGAACTAAGTCTTAAGTACAAAAATGCATAAACAAAAGTTAAATAATAATAATAATACTGACAACCACAACAACAATGATAAACATAATAATATCAGTGATAACAAGATAGAAAAATAAGAACACGAAAGAGTAACAGAGGAAAGTGTATGGAGGATTGTATTAAAACACAATCGTCGTTTTCTCGCTGGCTAGAGACGTGCCGAGAATCCAGACAAATCAAAATAACAACGCCAACAACAAGAAAGGAACAACAACAACAACAACAACAACAACTGCTACTACTACTACAACAACACAACAGCAATGATAATAATAATACCATTAGTATCATTTGTATAAGTTGTAATACGTTGGATTAATTGAATTGTCACCTGTATCTGTGATATCATTTGTATCTTCTTTTGTATAATCTCTTGTATCATTCATGAGCTGTTTAATCATTGTATATCACCGTTGTATTCTTGCTTGTATCATATTTTGTATCATCTTTTAGTATCATCCCTGAGCTGTATAATCATTGTATATCGCCGTTGTATTCTTGCTTGTATCATATTTTGTATCCTCTTTTAGTATCATCTCTGAGCTGTATAATCATTGTATATCACTGTTGTATCATAGTTTGTCTCATCTTTTTGTATCATTTGTAATATTATTTTCATTCATAATTCTGCCCAAGTCTGCACTGGAAAAAGATATTGATAATTTTTTTCTCTTTCTCTTACTGCTGAATATTATTTTTTACTTTTACAGAGATTGCAATTGTTTGTTTGTTTGTGTGTGTATGTTTGTATGTGTTTGTGTATTTGTGTGTGTTTGTGTGTGTGTGTATTTGTGTGTTTTCTAAGAAAATTTATTACAAGTTTATTTTTACACATCTGAAAATTGTCCATTTAATAATTCATTTATTCACATGCAGATTCATTTATTTGTATATTCATTCATCCATTTATACATTCATTCGTTCATCCATTCGTTCGTTCGTTCGTTCGTTCATTCATTCGTTTTTATTATTTTTAAATGTGCATTTCGCAATTTTTCGGGACGGCTTAAAAAATAAATGGCTCTTCTTTGCCATATCAACAGCTAGAGGTTAAAAGGTGGAAAGCTAAAAGGCCGATCAGAGAAAAACTCACAAAAACCGTCAAACAAATTGAAAAATAAGAAATAAAAAAACTAATTAATAGTGGGTTTCATGTTTATTTTTCACGATTAAAGACAATTAACTAAAAATAATTTCAGAAAATTGATAATGTAACAGAATTTTGAAAATTTTTCAAAATATATTCATAAAAAATATGAGAAAAAGTTGAATTATCAGCGAACAAATCTTACAAGAAGAGCTTGAAAAATGGAAAAATAACAATAGGAGAG